TATCCCTTAGAAATGAAGTATCCAGCCTCGAATAAAACAAATCCTTAAAAGGGAAAGATGGTTTAAAGGGGCAGAGCAACAATTTGCGGACTTTGGCTAATTAATTGCGGGGATTGATCCCGGCCACATATAAAACGAAGGATCGAAAACTATTCTTTCCTGCTTGCCCTAGTTTTCATTAAAAAAAAAATGAAAGCCGCTTACAACTCCCTGTAACGCCGAATTAGAGCGCAGCTCTTGAGGAGGAGGAGGGAAGGGCACTGGGGGGGGGGGGGGGTTAAACTAACCAGGGGGGGTCCGTTACCTTGGGGGTCACGTGACCCCCAATGCCGATGATGTCATCACTGACGTCACTGATGACGTCATCAGTGACGATGACGATGCGGGTACCGATGACGTCATTAGTGACGTCACTGATGACTTCACCAGTGATGATGACGATGACGATGCGAATGTCGGTGACGTCATCAGTGACGTCGCTGATGACGTCATCAGTGATGATGACGATGACGATGCGGATGCCGGTGACGACATCAGTGACGTCACTGATGACGTCATCAGTGATGATGACGATGACAATGCGGATGTCGGTGACGTCATCAGTGATGATGACGATGACGATGTGGATGCCGGTGACGTCATCAGTGATGATGACGATGACGATGTGGATGCCGGTGACGTCATCAGTGATGATGACGATGACGATGTGGATGCCGGTGACGTCATCAGTGATGATGACGATGACGATGCGGATGCCGGTGACGTCATCAGTGATGATGACGATGACGATGTGGATGCCGGTGACGTCATCAGTGATGATGACGATGACGATGTGGATGCCGGTGACGTCATCAGTGATGATGACGATGACGATGCGGATGCCGGTGACGTCATCAGTGATGATGACGATGACGATGTGGATGCCGGTGACGTCATCAGTGATGATGACGATGACGATGCGGATGCCGGTGACGTCATCAGTGATGACGATGACGATGTGGATGCCGGTGACGTCATCAGTGATGATGACGATGACGATGTGGATGCCGGTGACGTCATCAGTGATGATGACGATGACGATGTGGATGCCGGTGACGTCATCAGTGACGATGACGTCATCGGGGGGTCACGCGACATCGGCGGGGGGTCACGTGACCTCGAGGAGGGGGCCACGTGACCTCAGGGGAGTCACGTGACTTCGGGGGGTCACGTGACCCCCCACGAGGTCACGTGACCTTGGTGGGGGGCTCGCGCGGTGCATTATGGGACATTTCCCATGATGCACCGCGCGGTTACGCCGACGGCGACGGCGACGGCGACAGCGACGGCGACGCCGACGCCGACGGCGACGCCGCTCAAGCCGGAAACGGGCCCCTAAGAGCTGCGCTCTAAAAAGTGAAAGCCGTTTACAAATCCCTGTAACGCCGAATTGGAGCGCAGCTCTTGAGGAGGAGGAGTGAAGGGTACTGAGGGGAGGGTAGACCCCTCCTCCTCCCCTCATTCTTTAATATGCTCCGGGGGGGGCGGTCACGTGACCTCGGGGGGGGGGGGGGGGGGGGGTATCACGTGACTTCGGGGAGGGGGGTCACGTGACCTCAAAGGGGTCACGTGACCTCAGAGGGGTCACGTGACCTGGGGGTCACGTGGGGGTCACGTGACCTTGAGATGACCTTGGGGAGGAGACCACGTGACCACGGGACCTTGGGGTCATGTGACCCCCAAGGTCACGTGACCCCTCCCAAGGTCACGTGACCCCACGTCTCCCAAGGTCACGTGATTCCTTGAGGTCACGTGACCCCTCCCAAGGTCATCTCAAGGTCACGTGACCCCAAGACCCCACGTGACCCTTTGAAGGTCACGTGACCCCCAAGTCACGTGACCTTGGGAGACGTGGGGTCACGTGACCTTGAGATGACCTTGGGAGGGGTCACGTGACCTTGGGGGTCTCGTGACCTTGGGGGTCACGTGACCTTGGGATGACCTTGGTTACGCCGACGGCGACGGCGACGCCGACGGCGACGGCGACGCCGCTCAAGCCGGGAACGGGCCCCTAAGAGCTGCGCTCTAAAATAAAAGAGATTGGTATCTCTGGCACCCCTCAACTCAACATTGAAGTGGCACCAGCTTCGCCTGTGATGTCATTCGGAGTGGCGATGGTTTCCGGTTGGGTTCTTCTGGCTTCCGTTTCCCCAGCGCTCCCCGGGTCGCCAGGCTCGCCGCTCTCCCGCTCTCCCGCCGATTCCCGACCAACATGGCGGCATGGGCGGACGGCCTGAGCGACGTAGAGCGCAAGATGCTTGCGACGCGGCGGGCAGTTGAAGTCGAAGTCGAGGTCGAGACACCAGGAAGAATAACGATACCACGATACTACGGACCACAACCAACGCACTCCGTCGAGCGAGGGAAAGACAAAACGTCCGGGTTGCTCGTGTAGCCGCCATAGGCGCCTCGGGCGTCGACGGATGAGGGCGACGGCAGGTTCTGTTGACTTGCGGTAGATGGCGCCACAAATAATTCATACCCTTTTAGCGGCAATATTAGGCTTTTGAAGCGTTTCTGCATGCCTAAACAACAAGATTTTTAAACTTAACCTTAAATCAAGCTTACAATTGCCTAACACTATCACTTACAAAAACCACTACGAATGACGTCACACCACAGGTTCCATTTGCGGCCACCATGTGGCCGCAGGTTGGGAAAAAAAGTGTTTTTGTTTTGTGATTACGCAGCGAAATAGAGGTATTTCGGGGTAAGGTGGCACTTTTTCTCTTACTTATGCCGAAGTAAACAATATAAAAAATACAAGCTGCACATTCGTTCAGTGTTAAAATCATTGCACCGCCCCTTTAAGGTTAAAGAGTAACTCAACTCTTGCATTTTTCAATGTTTCTTTCCGAACAAAAAAAAAGTGGATCTGATGAATGCTTATCTGGTAACCAAAATTTAAAACCAGAACAAACAAGAAAAAAAATTAGAAGAAACCGATTTCATATTTGTAACCGTAACTGTAACAGTAAGCGAACCATTCTTATTTTCGGTTTAATTCTCTGGTTACAAGTGGTAGTAAAATGTCAAAAAACATTTAAAATCATTGTGAGCTCTCTGACAACCTATACTCGATCAGACTAAAAATATAAAAAAAGTAGCGCACTTTACACCAAAGCAAACATACTGGTTTTGCTTTGATTAAAACAAAAAAAAAAGTGGCAAGCGCTTTATTCTACGACAAGCACAGACCATAGCTTTCTTCTGTATTAATTGGCATTTCATCAAGTTTCTGCATCTAAGTTTAAAATTCCCATTGAAAAATTGTGTTTCTCGCATTTAAATTACCATAAATGCCCGTACCAAGATCGTTGTCATGCTGGACAGAACCAAGGAACATCTAGTACGTTGGAGTCCACATCGGCTTGCCGGCCTGACTCCGGCCAGATTTTTATGTTTCTGTGTAAATAATTGACATAATTGCTCTCTGTCTGCCATCTGCCCATCTGTCTCTCTCTCCCTTTTGAAAGAACCTAGGACACTTTAAACCCACGAAGCTGTCTTACGTCACCATTTTTGCGAACTGCAGCTCCAGTTCCAGCTTTACTCTCAAATTTCTGCCTAAGTCACTAGTGGGCTGCATTCTGGAGCTCATATTATTGCACCTTATAAGTGTGCATTCATACGGCATAAACACGTCTGGTTTATACATCATTTCCTTGAGCAGTAATAAGACATGGCCCCGTGAGGGACGTGCCAGACCAATGTATGTAAAAGCGGCACGCACGGCTGTTGCTACGTAAACCAAGAAGCTGCAATTTTTCACATTCATACAAATGTCAAGTGGGCAGCGACAGATGGCTCAGGAAGGAAGATCCAACTACACGGCTAGTGATTGTGCATCTCAAAGTGATTAGCAACTTAGTATGATTTATCCCCCTCGTTGATTGAAGAGTAACACTTTTTCACAAACCTCTTCTCCTTGCAAGGAAGAGGGGAGGGGATAGAGCAGGGGTGGCCAAACTGCGGCTCGTGAGCCGCATGCAGCTCTTCGCGTGTTAAAGTGCGGCTCGCAGCTCCCTCCACAGCCTTCCACTCCTCTCCCCCGTCTCCCTATAGTACCGGTCACACGAGCTCTTCCCCCAAAAGAGACTGCTTGAACGCATTTTAAATCGAACGACAGGTTGCAGTTTGGTAGTCTTGTGCTGCTTCTAGTTACGTGCAGTTAGACTGCTCTTGACTTGGATAAATTGAAAGTAGTTTGAGTTTCATTTATTTCTCTGGACAAACGTTTGCCCCACCCCCGCAGCTCTTGGAAGTTTCATACTTCTGTTTGCGGCTCTTTGGCTGGGTCAGCCTGGCCACCCCTGGGATAGAGCATGTCTTGAAAGAAGGGGTGCGACCACAACATATACACCAAATACACCTGCTGAAAAGTTTAATGCCGTCCATGTCTGTTGCACTCTGTGTTCATCCCTTGTGCTAACTCGCGTTCAAATCCTTCAAGGGTGTTTAACCAACTTTCTCGCCTGCTTCTTTCAGAATAAGCCATTCATGGCATGGATGACCGATGTAATAAAAATAAATCGCACCGGTCAAAATAACATTTCTTTCTCCTTATCGCAAACGTCCAAATAATTAATAAAAGGCTCTTTCGTGTGTCCTCGGGAAGCGACGTTAGGAGTGTTAAAATAACACGCCCGGGTATTTCGACAGTGGACAGATCACCGTAAAAATAGATAAAAAAATCAGGGGAATCAAACCCACGACTGCTGCACTAGCTCGGAAGAAACACTGGGATGTTGTGCCATTCACTTTCTTTTGTATGCAAGCATTTCTTTTGACCGACTCTACTGTATGTAACAATTTAACAAACTGGAAGCATAAATGTTGCTAAAACTAGCAAAATTTTTTTTTAGGGTTTTTTTTTTTTTTTTGGCTTTTGGAAACGAATGTGGAGAAGGGGGCAGAGAACGGAGTGGCTCAAGAAAGATGCCCTCGGCATGGAAACTCACCTCGGGATTAGCCGGGAAAATGTTGTCCACGAGGCGCTTGTAGCGCGGCCGTAGCGCCGCACAGCAGCCGCAGCAACCTGCAATCCCCGCAGTAGCCGATCAAGTGGCGGCGGCGCATCGGACAGCGCGTCGCACTCACAGTCGTGCTGCTCGCACTGCTTGAGCACCGAGCCGACCCACTGGCTCTCCACGCACCAGCGAAGACCCGCCGTCAGAAATGCCATTTTTACGACTCCCCCTCCTACTTCTAGCTATTGCTCTACGAACGGTTTAGTGGTGCGGCCGCATCGAGTGAGGGGTTAGGAAGGCTAGCTAACGAGGCCTGGCATGGCGCTCAGCGGAGCAGGCGACCGAAGGCCCAAGCCGCCCGTAGCGACGCCCACACGCAGAGTGGAGGCGACGGGTCGACCACGGTGACGCCGTCGCGGAACGAGAGACATCGACGCACGGGAGTGAGCATCGCTGTGCCGTTCAGTAGAGCGCTTGGCCGAAGCGGTCCCTCCTGCGACACTTGCGGGGTGTCCGCGCGGACTCGATATCCTAACGGCCCGTCGATCGACCCGAAAGACCGTAGTAGGCGCGCGCTGCGGACGTTCGGCGTGCGCCTGTGTGCAGCGCAATTCGCGACCTATTTTCTTTTTTTCTACCCTCGCGGTGACCTCGACCTGGCGTTAGCGTGCGAGAGACCGAAAATGCAGCTTCCGCGAAGGTGCGCAGACACTACTACGGCCGTCTGCCATCGGGCAAAGCGCTAGTATGTCGTCTGCTAGAAGCCAGATCTAGCTTTCCCCCCGTTTCGTACGCGTGCACAGTGCTCCAAACAAGGAACTAGGAAACGCCAGCGTCCGCGGGTTTCATTTACTCAACCGACACTCGAGACGATCCTCATGTTTTCTTTTTGTTTCCCGAAGGGTACAAACTGTCTGATCCGAGAACGAACCAAACAGAGCTTTAATATGATGCACGCTGAATCGGTGTGTTCCGAAACAACTTTGTTTACTTTTCGGTACCACGCTCGCAGAACTGCCAATCATCATCATCTCTTTTGTCAACTCTTTTGTGTTCGTGTTCGTCCGCTTGTTTTCCGTCCCGTCACAAACAACTATTTTGAGAATCGATTACCGAGAAAGCTCGAACTGTTCGAAAGCAGGAGGACGTATTAGTTCGAGAGTCTAAAGTTTGTAGTCTTATGGGTTCCTCATTCCGTTCGAGTTCGAAAATACGCGGAATGCAGAACAGCTGATTCCAGAGTGTACGGGCGACCAAGCTGTTTTGGTCCGGCGTTAGCGATTTCGGCCTTTGCCGCGGTCACCGCTTGCCCCGAGCCCAGATCGTGAAAGCTTTCAACCGTAAAAAGGACGGCTGACGCCTCGGCGATCACGTCAGCTGGCCGGAACACCCGACGCTCCCGTAGGCCGCTCCCCAGACGCCGACGGAACGTTCGGAAGACGCCCCATGCACGCTGTCGCCGGGGGTGGAATGTCGCATCTTACGCCAACAGTCAACGCTTCGTGCTTCCACTACTGTAGCCGAGTGACCCTAGGAAATGTCCGACAAAGCGGTCGCCACTCACCCATTGCAAAAGTACGAAAGTTCCACCTGGTTCCGTTTCCAAGTTCGCGACGACGGCGAAGTCAAAGGCGCCCGGGTATTTGGGTTTCCGTTTCGGATGACTGAAGTCAGATGGCGCCAGGGTAGGGCCCCAAAAATTGGGTGCTTTTTCAACGTAATTCTGGTTATAAAAATCCCTGGAGATGTTTGATAAATTGACGCGGAAAGTGAAATAACACTTTCTTTAGACACCGTTTTTGCGCCGATAGGATAAATATTTTTGGTATCTGCAACGTTCTATGCGGCAGCGCGCGAGTGCGACCACCGGACGGCCATCTTGCATGCGGCGAAATCGCTTTTCCGCTAGCGTTACAGAGCCTGGCGGCAGCGTGCAGAAGCAACGCTGAAGTCACGTTTTCTACTCGTTCGTCGTCATTCGCCGAACAAGTTTTTTTCTTTTTTTTTTTTTTTAATTTTGTGAAAACAGTGCGACTTTCCTTTGAGTACAAAACGAGCGTGTTGGCAACAGTAATTAAACACGAGGAAGTTACATAGAAACATAGAAAGGGGGGACGGACAACGAAGACTTCGTTGTCCGTCCCCCCCTTTCTATGTACCTTCCTCATGTTCAATTGCCTTTGAGAACACGTAGAAAGTTTTACAAAAGCGCAGCGTTGCAGGAAAAACGCACAACTCGTAGAAAGCAAGTTTCGCCGGTCTCGCGGCGTGATGAATCAAGCTTCCTTGGCACGCCGAAGTGCTACGTCTCTGTGCCTTCGTACGCTTAGATGCTGATCAAGAATCGACGCCGTGTGGACGTGTTTTGCCAGTGCAATGAGCGTGAAGGCGTATGTGCCCCTGGAGCAGCGTTTTACTTTACTCTGACGACTGTATTTGTGATTTGCGGCACTCGCGGTTCAGAAGCGAGCTTGATCCAGTGTCCAGTGACGACGGAAGAAAGGAAACGGGGGCGGCAACCCTTTTTTTTTAGACGCTTATGGCAATCAATTCAGTAGAACAAAAATCTTTATTTCTGTACACCCCCCCCCCCCTCCCTCCCTAGCTCCATTGTTCAAAAGTGGCGATGTGCCCGTCTCCCCATTTTTGCCTTCTAAAACCTTCCTTGCTCCACAGCGTCAGCGCCATGTGATCCATTAGGGTAGATTTGGAACATGGCCATGGTTAATTGTGCATGCGAGCAACCATACATATATTTCCCCGTTTGTTGATAACAACTTGCCGAAACAGCTGGACGATCAAGAACTCCGCGGCCGATATATGATGCAAAAACATCTACGCGCGACACACCTTTAAAACTTTGTCGCGGCGTAGATTCTTGATCGGTATCCACGCGTACGAAGGCACAAACACGCAGCGCTTCTGAGTGCCGAGGAAGCTTTGATCACGCCGCGAGACCGGCGAAACTTGCTTTCAACGAGCTATATATGCCTTTTTTCAGCATTTTTCTGCAGCGCTACGTTTTCGTAAAAATTTCCACGTCTTCTCAAAGCAAGTTATCACCTACCCAGGGGCTCACAGCACTCTCAGCAAGGCAGGATCCACCATCCTCCATCAAGTCCAGACGGAGACCTTCCTCAACCCGGCGCAGTTGCACTCGTGGTATCCAGATAACTACGACCCGTCTTGCAGCAACTTTCGCGAGATCGCCACACTCCACCATATACTCTGGGGGTGCCCGGAGCTGCTGCTTCATTCGAAGAATAAGGAGTTCATCAAGCGAGCCAGGCAACCAGGCACCTGGGAATCCTTCCTGCGGGATCTGACCCCAAGACTCAGAAAATTCTTGTCCAGCTGGCCTCGGACGTCGCCGGGAACATCGCGTCTCGTCTGTCGACCGAGGGGATCACTTCGTCAAGTCTCTCCCTAGGAGAGACTCGCTTGACGCGGGGATCTAACAATTTTGGGCCCAATAAAGTCCACGTCACCTCACCGCTTGTACAAGGGTTTAATTCGGCGAACAGAGGCGTACCAACTTGTTTTTGAGGGGGGGGGGCAAACCAACCCCCCAAGCCCGGGAGGCAGTGCCCTTGGTCTCCCTTCGGCGCCGCCGGCCAGTGTTTGCCCTGCCCGGTGGCGGCTGTTTCGGGGGGGGGCGGGGGGGGGGGGGCAAAACATGCCTTGCCCCCCCCCCCCCCGCCCCCACCCTGAAAACTGGGGGGGCGACCGCCCCCCTTGCCCTTGCCCCCCGGTTGGTACGCCCATGTGGGCGAATGACGACGAACGAGTAAAAAATGTGTCTTCAACACTCTGCCGCCACGCCAGCCTCTGCAACGCTCGCAAAAACGCGCGTGTCGCACAATGAGCCAAAACCAGAACCAGAAACCAGAGCAAGAGGGAAAGGAGATACGGCAGTTTGATACTTTAGACCCATGTTACGGGTAAAAAAAACAGGACGCGGGATGGCCAAAAAAACATGCTTTTCGTGCAAGGCTCGTCAAATTATGAGGCGCTGGAGAAATACAGCATTCTGCGTTAAGTCCTTATTTCGAACTCTTTTTGTTCGCCTTCCGCCCATTGGAAAGCATGCGGGAAGGGCCTTAAAACGCACCTGGTATCGCTGCGCCGCAGCGTTCTTCCGCATCAAAAAGTTCGTCTGCTTTCCTCGCCGTCACCATGGCAACAAACGCCGAATGAATAGAAGCACGCACGGTACCGCCGCGTGAAGCCAGCAACAGCTGACGCCATTTTACGAACGCCGTCTGCTAGCCAAAGCCGAACGCGGTGTGTCAGATCAACCGCCTCCGCCGGAGCGCCGCTAGCAAAGACGACGAAGCTGAGACACGCCGACGGCGATCGAGCAAGCAACAACACCGCGGGACGACTGCAGCGGCGGCATTTATTCGGATCAAAGGCCGCCTTCGCCGGTGCGGTACTAGCAAAGACGACGAAGCTGAGGCACGCCGACGGCGAATGGGCGAGCAACAGCACTGCGGGACGACTGCAACTGCGGCATTTATTCGGATCAAAGGCGCGAAATAAGCAAGAACAATTTTTATTTGAATCATAACATCCGATATCCAAGTTGGGGACCAGATATGTTTGCAGGGTCTTTCCTGTGAACTTTTTACAGAGACACGGGGTGCCGCATTCAAAACACAGCTCCGTTTGCAAAATATGGGGGCCCTGAAAAGGACCGTTTAGACCGCTACCAGAACCTATAACTGACGTAACGAGCACTTGACGAGCGGTTGGCGGATAAGTCGTCTTTATGCATGCAGGCAGGTGACGGGCTCAGTCACCGGGGCCGTCAGAATCCTCGCCCTGTCTGCGTCGGGGCTCTAGATTTTGGCGGCCGCAGCGACGAACGACTGGAATCTATTAGTGTTTCCGCGCGCCTTCCCTTTCCTCCAAAACATGAACTTTGCAAGGTGACCAGTGAAATGGTGGCTCTCGCGCCGTCCAGATGGAAGAGCGTTCTTGAGGTGGGCCCAGGTGCAATCCACCTTATTGGTGTGCGCACCGGTGTTCGCGTCGACAAAGTGCAGCTTGTGGTTGACGGCAGGGCCGTACCCAGAAAAATATTTCGGGGGGGGGGGGGGGGGGGGGGTTTCGGGGACAACGGCGGCCATTTTGAAAATGTCTATTGTCTTATTTTCACCTATGAATCATGCGCATCGGTGGCATATAATGGAGAGTTATAGCAAACCGGAGAACCGGTCCCGGTTTGGTACCCGGTAGCCGACCGGTGCCACTGCGCGTGCGCAGAGGTGGAGATTAAAATCGGCTGGCTGCAAGTGCACCGACCAGGGCCGTGCCCAGAACAAAATTTCGGGGGGGGGTCAGAACCCCCTAACCCCCCCCCCCCCCCCCCCCACCCTGGTTACGGCCCTGGTTGACGGTGAGGTGCGTGAAACGAGCGTCATCTGCAAGCTTGCGATAGCCAGCCCAACAATCGGTGATTATTCTTGTTCCAGGACGGACCCACTCGGCTATTAGCCCTTGCACGGTTTTAGCGTTACGGGTCTCCACGGGAACAAGAAAGCAGCACCCGCTGCAAAGCGCCACACCGCCGAAAACCCACTGGCCAGGCCTTAAATACCCGCGATGGTACTTGTGCCGACCGAACATACTCTCGTCTAGTTCTACAGTCACGCCTTCGCCACCAATGATGTCTGAATACCACAACCTCCCGACAAAGGCTCGCCCAATCAGTCATTGTCTTACTTGCGATATCAGCCTCCCGCTGAATGACGGCGCACGGTAGGTTCCGGCATCCGGAAGATGATTTTCACGAGTTGGAGAATCGTCAGGTGGCGATCCTTCGAAAAAGGAACCGCTCCGTACCGAGACCTCGCCCCGGCACTGAACTTTGACCGGCTTCCTCCTGGGCACCTCACGA